ACCAGACTACCCTATATCTAGTAAATACCAGAGCATTCGTCAAGGTACAGGATAGTTCTAGAAAATAGGTGGCGCCACACCAGTCACGTGACCTCGATGACGCAATACTATATACATCCAAAGCATTAAATTAATGTTTGCCACCGTGCTAAAAACCAAATTAAAAATGCTTTCTAAAAACAGCATATTAAAAATCTCACTTAATAAATATTAAGAACAGGATAATCAAATTAAGTAGGAAATTAGAAGTGCGAAATTTTTTATTTGTAGCTAATTTGAAATTATCAAGTACACAGTTTTTTCTAGTTAGACTTATTATTGAATAAATTGGGCTTATACCAACTATTACTAGAAAGTTAAAAACGATATTTAAAGCATATACATGAAATTTGTCAAAGAAAAAATAAATAGGTAAACCAAATTCTAGGTGTGATTATAGCAGCTCAGGATTTTTTGTATGCGAGACAAATTTCTATATTTGATATATGGAAATAAAAATATTCTATATTTGTAATAAATACTCAGCAGAGCATTATGAAAAGGTAAAAATATGAGATTAGTTAAAAACAGGATTACCACGGTAGAACAAAACAATATGTTTAATCTTCGAACGTTTCGGAATTTACATATTCCATTATAAGCGATCTAAAATGTTTTCATAGAACATACATAAGTAGTACACACACACACACACACACACACATATATATATATATATAACAACAAACAGTATGTTCTATGAATATGAGATTATCTCGAGGAATACTCTGGAAATTTCTTCCCCCATTTTGAGTAGATGAAAATGAACTTTGTGTAAAAACTCTTACCAGAAGAGTTTCTAAAAATCTAAAATAATAATTAAAAATAACCAGTCTTAGTTATGAGCAACAGGCAAACCTCAAAAAGTCTCTATGACCACTCTGCCTAAGGTCATCAGTTGGGTGTTATTGTTGTTAGCAGTATTTTCAAAATATATCCGAAGGTTTATAATTATATCCTTATAGTGGTGGGCACTGAATGTATCTCATTTAATATTCTCATGTTACGCCACAGTTACGGGAAGGAAATATCAACAGATTTCTCCTAAAAAATAAATACAAAATATTTTATTAATCATTTTAGTTGTTTTTTCATCCATGATATAGTTCCTTTACAGACAAGCACGCCCCCCCCCCCCCAGTGGCACAGCAGTATGTCTGCAGATTTACAACGCTAAAAACCGGGTTTCGATACCCGTGGTGGGTAGAGCACAGATAGCCCATTGTGTAGCTTTGTGCATAAATTACAAACAAACAGACAAGCACACTGTATGTGTATGCAGTTTTTAATCTCCAAGGCAATGGATTTCCTTTAATGCTTATAAATTGTTAAATACAGCGATATTTTATAAATGTTAGAAGTATCCCACACTTTACAAAATTTAAACTTGAAAAACGTTTTCTGTCCCATTTTAGCTATTTTTGAATTTTAAACAGTGATATTTTTTTTCGTTTCTTAAGCTGAAGGAAATATATTTGCATGATATTTAATTCCTCTATAGAATTCGCCAGTAGAGGGAGAATGTAAATTTCTCTTTAAGAGCAAAACTTCCCGCCAAGATGTTCTAAACTTAAACATTATACGTTCGTGTTAAAGAGTTTAATATGAAATTTTGATTTGGTAGTTATTGTTCGGGAGAAATTTTAGTATCAATACTGAATTATTAGACGGTTGGGATCTTTGAACTGACTGAATATTACTGTGTAAATGATAGACTTTTAAACTGACATTACAGTGACAAAAACTGAAAACTTCAAGAAGTTGAAAACTGTGCGACCAAAGGAGCTTCAAAGACAATTAAATACAGTAATACAAATACACTTTACAAGTAATACTTGTACTCGATTCCCATTTCTTGGAACTGGAAGTTGGACTCAACATTTACTGATTTATCATTTAGCGTTACTACTACTAGCACTAGGTGATACTTACTAGTTACACAGTGAAAGTACTAGGTCTTATTGCTATTAGTAATTATTAGTATTACTGATTTGTTGCTCTGTGAGTGAGACATTGAATGATTGACGTAACAGTTGAGGTAACAGAACTTCTGTTACTATTAGTATTAGAACTTGGGCCTGTGCACCAGGCTAGTTCGTTTACGTTTCATTCATTGAAGATTTCAGTACCAAACCTAGTTTGCACGAAAAATCGAGCACATAATAACTAAACACAAACTATTCTCATTGACGTTAGTTAAATTATTAATTTTTTGTTAACGTTAAGCTTATTACTAGTACTGACATTGTGACAACATCTTGACTAAGAGTAAGAACTAGTAGTAAGGAAGTAGTACTACAAGTTACAACTTGCAGGTTAAGCTGATGCAGTAATGGCAAAAGTTCATGTGTGTAATGTTGTTGTGTTAGATAATCCATCGTTATTTTATAATCCATTCCAGTTTGAAATTACGTTTGAGTGTATTGAAGATCTAAAAGAGGGCAAGTATTTGATTTTTCTGTTTTTCTAAACAGCAAACTTGAAAATAAGATTATTATTACCATTACTAGCATTAGACCATAATTAAGGAGTTTCCAAAATAATTTTAAATACTGTAATGTATGAAGTTTTAAAAATCAAATTCAAAAGGTTTTATTTATTTATGAACCTAGTCAAATTGATTTTATCTAACTTAACAGAATCTTGGCTTATTGATCTGCAGCTGTGTGGTTGCATCATCAAATTCAAAGTTTGATAACTGAATAAGTATACAACAAATAAAGGTATACTGATAATGGTACAGCACTTTAAATAAGAGCATGGACATTAAGTGATAGATAACAAAACAAGTGTATTATGTACATAAGAGGAAAAATATATGTATAATAATTTGTATTGATCTGTTTAATTTATTTGATTGAAATTTGTAAAATTCATACTTCCAATCAGTGGTATAGGATCTGTTGGCTTATTTTTAGTGTACATTTTTTAGGTTTGCTACTTACCCCTTCTTTTTCTTACAGCAATAACATCCTTCATTTAATTTTGAATATTTACCCTATTTGTGTTGTTCCAGCAATATTTCAATGAATTATGAAAATGTGAACTATGCTTTCACAAAAATTTTGTTTTTTATATGGACAGAAGTAAGAGAAAGCATTTAATATTGTTCTTAAGGCAATTGGAGTTGATTAAATGACTCATCTGGGCACTTTTGTATGGTTCTGGGAACATTTTTATGAAAATATGAAATATGATTTCACAATAATTTTATGTTGTCTATGCAGACAGAAGTAAGAAAAAATATTTGGTTTGGTTTTTAAGATGATCGGAGTTGATTGAAATACCTGTCTGGGTACTATTGTGTTGTTCTGTCAACATTTCAAAAAATTATGTTGTCTGAATCAGACTGACTGACATTTCACTGACATATTGTTTAGTACAAAAACTAATAACACATCTGTTATTTTGTGTACAAGAAACTTGTACTGTTGACCAAAGGCTTGCCATATTTTGTGAAGATACACTTCGTAAATGTGGAATTATAGTCAGCATTATGGGGTTGGTCTGCTGGACCACCCCGTGCACATTATTACAATGTATACAAGTTAGGTATATATATCTTCTGTTTTAGAAACCAAAGAATTTCATGTGATATCCAAAACATTAGTTTATTTTTGTGGTAACTTCTGGTTAATATTTTATCTGCTAACATTTTATGAAAATCTTGTTTTACTAATCTGTTATTTTTTTTATTTTTGAGTATGTTAATTCTTATCCAAATAATGGAAAGGGTATAAACGCGGTGTACTTCAAGGTTTTTACACAGGTTTTTTTTAGGCCAGGCTTAAAAATATTGTTTGCGGTAACCAAATGATTATCTGAAATTGGGCCAACTGAGAGATTTTTTTTACTCATCTAACAAAATTGTTATCAACATATTATGGTTAGAATATTATTAAATATACATGACAGTTTATATTAAGTATAATACAAGTTTTTAAATTTAGTTATTTTTACAAGTGGTAGTTTATCACAGGTTTATTTATCTAACTGTGTGAATAATACTTTGTGTAGTTTAATTGTTGTAAATTGGTTGTACATCATAATATCTTGTAGTGTGCAAAAAGATCTAGACCTCGGGCTATTTATAAATATGCATCCAAAATGTAGTTCAAGTGAAACAAAGTTTATGATAGATAGAGTCAAATATATCTGGACTGTGTTTATATGTTTAGCCTTAAATAGCGTATATTGGTGCTTTTTTTTAAAGTGAAATTATCGCAGATTTTATTGTAATAACAGAGTTGAGATAAGTAATTTGTCTTGCCAGTTGTGCTCTAAAGTAATTGAACCAGCCTGTGTATACTTTGACAAAATGAGACAATTATTTAAAGCTCTGGATACAACTGTAGTGATTAACTGTGTAACGAACATTTGTAGATACGTTTGACTTGTTTTAATATATTATTTTAAAACAAGTTGACTGTGTGCTGTTTAACCTTATCAACAAGTCAAGTCACAGACAAGTGAAATTATTGCAGATTTTATTGTAATAACAGAGTGGAGATAAGTAATTTGTCTTGCCAGTTGTGCTCTAAAGTAATTGAACCAGCCTGTGTATACTTTGACAAAATGAGACAATTATTTAAAGCTCTGGATACAACTGTAGTGATTAACTGTGTAATGAACATTTGTAGATACGTTTGACTTGTTTTAATATATTATTTTAAAACAAGTTGACTGTGTGCTGTTTAACCTTATCAACAAGTCACAGACACCTACTATTAAGAATCCAGCCCATCCATATATAAAAACCTGATGTGTATATTTTCTCGGAAATTCATGTAGTCCTCCATAATGTTGTGGGAGGGCATCACCTGATTACCAATCTACAGCTCATTGATGACGGGCCAATGCATTGAGGTTTGACATCTGTTATTTTGTGTACAAGAAACTTGTACTGTTGACCAAAGGCTTGCCATATTTTGTGAAGATACACTTCGTAAATTTGGAATTATAGTCAGCATTACGGGGTTGATCTGCTGGACCACCCCGTGCACATTATTACAAATGTTCTCGCGGATTGAAAATTAAGATCAAAAACAAATTAATTCCAATTGGAAATTTATCCATGTGGAGGGAAGTACTTGTAAATTTACTTGGCAAACGAGAGAAAATGGGAAAAAAACTGTAAACTTGTCGGCAACAGTCAATTCAACTTTGTCGATCAAGGTTGATGTTGACCAGCAAGTGTGTGTTGCAAAATGACTTGAAATTATGTAATTTTCTTCACAGAATAAATATTTATAGCAATTGTATTCATGGTCTGTTGCATTATGTTGTAGGTGATATGGAACTAGTGATATTTTCAAAATTTGTTTTGCCAAAAAATTTACATACCCACATTTTAAATCAGTTTAGGGTTACTGCAAACAAAACTATTTTTAAGCCTGATCTTAGCTAACAAAAATCACATTTGTTTGGATGAAAAATAAGCAAAAGGTTATTAATGGAGTCCAGTCAGAATAGACCCTTGTTACTAGTGAAATGCCTCAGAGGTCAATGTTTTGGCCTTTGCTTGTTCTTATTTACAATAATAATACTGAAAGAAGTATAAGTAGTGAAGTTTATTGATAACATTAATTAAACTGTCGGCCATCTGTAGCTGTATTGAAAATGTTAAGATACTAAACACTGCATGGATCAGTTGGTGAGTTGGATAAATTATTGGCAAATGACCTATAATTAAAGATAAATGCAAGGTAATGTACTTAGTTATAATAATTTGGATAACATTTATTATAGATGGTAACCCACTTGTTTCTTAGCATGGTAGATAAGTCACACAAGCCATTGAGATGGCACTCTCTTGTAATTTTAAAGCTAATAGAATTTTAGGGTATATCTATAGACATCGATTACAAGCCATAAGGGTTAATTATATAAATCACTATTATGTCCACTTAGGCCTCACTTGGAATACTGTGTAAACTCTTGAGCTTATCTAAGGAAAACAACTGACTTTGAAAGGGTTAAGAGGAAGACTACTATGATCAAGATTTGCACAAGTCCTTAAAAACCTGAAAAGTCCATTAATTTTTAAGTAATGAATCCAAGGTCTTAAAAGTACTTAAATTGTTGTTTTTGTACGTGGTGCTTGAAAGTATTTTAATTTGTGATATCTAATATACTTTGTAAAATATTGTGAAATGTTTTGCTAAATTCTACACTCCTCACTATTAATTTTCCATATTAAATCTTTGATAATTTAGAAGCAGGCACAACACAGCACTCTGCACATTAAGAGGTTTGTGAGTTCAGGCTGTGTTGCAAGCTGAAAGGTTGGCACCAATAGATCACTAGAGATGCACCTGTGCACCAGGATTGGCTTCCATTGCTGTGGAATAATCCTACAGAATGGGATGAAAAGAACTGTGGTGCTTGTAATGGTTTGAGAGTATTAAGCTTTGTACTTGTTTGTTGTGTTATGCCAAATCAAAAATTAATCAAATTTGCTCTAATATGCTGGATAAATCTGTATTCAGTGACAGGTGGCTGGAAACATAAAAGTACAAATCTTGGTAAAATGTTAAATGTTTGTCTTTATAGGAATAGGTAAGGCACTAAATTTAAAAAATTCAGAGACAGTAACTCATCTCATACAACTTAGCTGTCTTATTTGTGCATCTGCCTAATAGATTTGCATACCACTAGCCTTGAGGCTACCACCACTTAATTTTATTTGTTTGAATGTGAACTGCGCTGATGCATGATGGCATCCTCCTACAACAAAAGCACTCCACCAACACAACCTTCATATTCACTCCCTATTCACTTACATACATGATAATTTCATTTTTCTTCTCAGCATTGTATTGAACAGACATGTTTAAAGTTCTTGTCTGAGTTCAGTTTATAGAGATTTGCATTGTTAATGAAACTTGATTTTTGTTTTTCTTTGGCTTTTTTTTCATGTGACTGACACTCCTTTTTGGATCCTATGGTTGGCACCTCTTTGGCCAGTTCTGCCTTCATTTCTTCTACTTCTTTGCTTATCATTCAGTCTCCTCTTCCTTGTTTTTTACCTTCACAAGTCACTTTTTCATCATGGAAATTCTTCCCTCCATCTTCAAATGTGGGTTTGTCCAATCTGTTGCCTGTTGGGCCGGGCTCTTCAGTTATGTGGCATTCTTCTTGTCATTCCATTTGCCTTTCCTCTGTGTTCGTCTATCAATGAAAGAGGCAGGTCCTTTGTCATTGGTCCATCTGCTACTTATTTACTCCTAGCCATCTTACTGTGAGCCACCTTTCTACCTTTTTATCTGACTGTTTGTTTATAGTTTTTCAGTTTCTGCCTTCACTGGTTATTGGGCAGCCTTGTTCGTGGCATTTTGTCTTTTCTGGGACCTCAGTGTGTAGTCTCCACTCTGTTATGTTCCTTCATTTATCTCCAACTTCCTTGCCAGACTGAAACTTTGGTGGGGCTTTGCATCCATAT